CTACAGGGGACAGAGGTAGGCGTGAGAACCTCTCCCATGTAGAGCTGGATCTCCAGCCTCACATTCACACATCAATTTAGCAAGGAGGGAAGATGCCCGAGGAGCAGCAGTGCCCTAGTCTGACCCTGCGAGCGCTCCACAGTCAGTGTTTGAGCTCTAAATACCATAAAACACAAGTACCAACCAACACCATCCTCACCTAGACCCTATGGGCATTACGCTCCGTGTGGCCAGCTCTGCTGCTGCCTCAGTTAGCTGCCTTGAACAAGTCACACTTCCAGAAATAGTGTTTCTCCTTTTTTTTTTTTGATCTTTCTTTTTTTTTTTTCCTGCCAGTGTCCAGACTCCTCATGTACTTTATCAGTGACCTTGATATCCAGGGATGCCTTGTGCACCAGCTGCCAGGGGAAATAGCTCAATGATCAGCGTTCACAAGGGTGCTGATGTGCTTTCTGAGACTGCTGTTACTGAATCCCCCGGAGTCTAAGCTCCACTAGTAGATGGATGTGCCTACAGCCAGGCACACTCATGCACACGCACAAGAGCATCCACACTGAACATTGCATGTTTAGGCCTCTCTGCTGTCAGCGTTTAAGAACTAGGAATCACTCCTCTCACCGATCCTTCCTCCTTGCTAGTGAATCTTCGTTGTTCAAGAATGATCTTCAGATCCTTGGGTGTCTTTAGCATCACAGCAGTGTTTCCTTCTGTTTCTCCTCTTTGCTTGGTGCTTTTTGTACGTCGCTACTGTGCTTTTCCCCGTGGAATGCCCAAACATGATAATATCAATTTAACCAGTGTGCTTCACTGAATTTAGAGACGTTATAGCTATCGTTGGATTTCCAGCAACTCTTTTTTTTCCCAGGTAGGTTAAATTGAGACATAAGTAATTTTGGCTTGTTAATACAACAATTATTTAGCAACCTGGCAGCTATTTTGAACATTATTTCTGCTAACATGCCTCAGATGATTTCATGTTTAATACGTTCTATGCACGTAGCGTCAAAAAGTCATCCCTAGAGTGACGTGAGCACACTTTGTATCCACATACTGTAAATAATGTTTCGTAAACTAAGCCACCTTTTTTTTTTCCAGCTTTAGTGTTTGTGCTATTTTTTAGAAAAGTGTATTTATCCCTGGATGCTAGATTTGGACTTCATTCAATTCTCACTTGGTCTTCTGCTAGCTAATTATTGTTTGGATTAATATGAGTTGGATCAAGGTATATTTGTATATTTAAATCTTTTTTACTCAGTATTTGCATATTTTGTATATTTAAATTTATATTTGTATATTTATGTATTGTATGTATTCATTTATGAATATTTTAGCATTTGTATATTTAAATCTTTATATGGACCAAATAGGATTTTCCCCGGTAGGAATCTCCTGGGAGGAACAGGTATCTTGCAGGGTGGTAATAGGGACCTAAAGTGTTTTCTTTCTTGGTCATTGCTTTGATTCTTGTGTCAGTCTGTAGTGATTTAAAAGTATTAAAAAAAAAAAAAAAAGGAGAGAGCTGCTGCCTTGCGCACTGGCTGCAGGCCCGTTGTTACCCAGAGAGCAGCAAAGGAGAAATTCAGCTTCTGCTCCCAGAGCTGTATCAAGCTGCTGCCTAATCCCATGACTAAATTCACCTAAATAATAAGAAGGCTTTAATGGATTTCACTCTTGTTCCTTGCCTGGGTATGTCTGTTAAGTCAAGGAAGTGTTAAAAGCTCCAGATGAGCTGAGGTGACAAAGGAGCGAGCAGGGTGCCCTGCACTGGGTGCTGGGGCTTGTGATGCCGAAGGGCCGTGTTGCGGCCGCGCGGGCTCCGGCCTCCCGGGGCCATCGCACAGGCGCGAGAGGAGAAGGGCTCGAGCGGAGACCAAAGGGCCGCTTGGATGAACGCTGGCCAGGCTCTTACAGGCTACTGCGCGTAGGAAGCTCAGGGACAGCTGTTATGTGGGATTCATGCCAAAAATTTAAATGCTCAGCTGTAGGAGCAGCATTTGGCCACCCAGCAAAGAGCTCAGCCTCTTCCCTGGGAAAGGGTCTTCCCCAGCAAAAGCAAACTGAAAAGAGAGGAGTACAGTGGACAGAGCGATAAGTGGATCACTGACAGCAAACTACTCTCTGCTCTGCAATATACATCCCAACTTTTCTTTACAGTGTGCCCGAAAGATTGAGCTCTTTGGGTACTCTGGGCTTGCTCTGGGTTCTCCTGGAATAATTTAGGGCTGAGAGGTGGCTGCAGTGGGAAGCTGGTCTGGGGGAGCCTCTCAAAGGCTTTAACAAATAAAATCAGAAATGCTCTGATATCAGCTGCTTCGCACGCAGACTTTGCTCCCCACAGCTCGTCCCCACCCTCGGCTTTCAGCTGAACGACAGGAACGTGCTGCGTTTTCAAAAGTATTGTGCAGTAGCTCTCATTGCTGTTGTGCTTTGAGAAGAAGAGGAAAAAAGAAAGAAGCTTGAAAATATAAAATGAAAATCCACAATGAGTTTCATTAGAGATTTCTATTACCAAACAGCACAGAATTCTTTTTCATGTCTATTTTCACGCTCCTTCAGGAAGGAATGATGATTAAAGGACAGGATAATAAGAAGCAGCAATAAGAAGTTGCTAAGAAGCAATCAAAAAATGAGAGAGAGGCAAAGGCAAAACAAGTGTTTTTGTTAGCTAGTCAAGGTTAGCTCAGCACTGTATCTGCATAACTGACATTATGAAAAATTATAGATGGCATAAAAGCAACTTCACTAATGCTGAACCCTAGAAAATTTATCTTGACAGCTTAGTGAGTTTATTTGTTCTTCCAGGAGGCTTCAACTTCCTCTTATCTATGTTTTATAGCTTCATTTTCTGATTTCTGATTGTTATACAAAGGGATTTTCTTGCAGAGCAGTATCTTCATCCTCTTTCGTTGCTTATTGTGGCTAAGGCAAAAAAAAAATCCTTCCTGTAGAAAGAAGGGGTTTGAAGGGGCGATCTGTTTTCAGCGCTTACTACTGGATGTGAATGATTTTTTGCAAAGAAGAAAACATGGTTTTAAAGGAGTGACGGATTTTTGCATGAGAGTAGGGAAGTTCACAGGATTCAGTTGTTTTTTGCAGTGGGATGAATCCAGCTGACCAAAATTCAGAATCTGACATTGGTGCAAGCTCGGAGGCTACAGAAGGAGATGCAGGTGCAGAGAGCCGGGCTGTGGCCCTCCCTGCTGCTCTGAACATGCAGGGAGCAGCTGGGCTGGGACGTGGCCTCCGAGGTGTTATTTATCCCTGTTTCTTTTCTGTCCACATGCAGGAAATATGATGCCCTTTGTCGGTTTCAGGAATTCAGGGTTTAAGCTTGAGGATTGCCCCTCTTTGGAGGTGGCCAAAAGAGACGCTTGTTGTGCTAAATCCGTGTCTGTTCCCGGCAGCGAGGAGCGCGCCGGAGCCGCTGGGCTGGGACGTGGCCTCCGAGGTGTTATTTATCCCTGTTTCTTTTCTGTCCACATGCAGGAAATATGATGCCCTTTGTCGGTTTCAGGAATTCAGGGTTTAAGCTTGAGGATTGCCCCTCTTTGGAGGTGGCCAAAAGAGACGCTTGTTGTGCTAAATCCGTGTCTGTTCCCGGCAGCGAGGAGCGCGCCGGAGCCGCGACCCTGGGCTCGACAGCAGCAGCGGCGCCTGAACGGGGCGCCTGGATGGGGCTCAGCCGCGGGGTTTGGGGGAAACTCGCTGCGCTCCCTAAAGGGCCGCTCTGCTCTGCCGACAGCTGCGGCGGCGGCGCGTCCGGGCCGGCGCGGTTCGGCCAA